ACAAAAATAAACACCCACACAACAAACCAAAAGCAACACCATCACTAAACCGTGTCTCCCAGCGCTACATCAACCCGTCTTTTGAACACCTCCAGGGATGGGGCCTCAACCACCTCCCTGGGCAGCCCATTCCAATGGCTGAGAACCCTTTCAGCTGCAATAGCAACTCAGGTTGAACCCAAAGGGCCTCATACAGTCTGACGGGTTCCTGTGATAATCATAACTATGCCATTATTATTATTCTAAATAATTCTAATAACATCCTTAATAAGTCTAAATTACTGTCCTCTATGCAACAGCTGCTACTGCAGTATCACTCCTATAGCTATCTAGCTTTTTCCTCTCCTTCCATACAAAATGTCCAACGCAGCACTGCTCCAGCCCTCTTCATTTCCTCTCCTGAAATGGGCACAGTACCAGAACTACCAAAAACAAAAATCAAAAGTAATGCCTTACGACGTTAATAAGGATGATTTGGCAGTGAATATCACACCCCCTTCTTTTAAGCCAGGCCACAACAGCTTTCATCACAGGATGTCAGATTTCTACCCAATGCCAAACAGCACTTTTGAGTTGTTTTTTTTTTTTCTCTCTGAAGTGGTCTTTCACTGTCACTAACCCCATCTGCATGTCCCACACAGCCACATCACCGAATTTGGCATCCTGAGTAACAATGAGTAATATAAGGGCACTCACGGTAATTTTTGGAGCAATTCTGGAATATATATTTTCAGATGGGCACACTACATGCCCTGCTGCCACTCATGGGCACACGTGGTCCCTTGCCCTGGCCACACACAAAGCTGCTTCTGCAGCACTCCCTTACCCCAACCCCACCGACCAAGCACCTAATCGACCTTCAGGATGCAAAATGTTAATCCCCACACAGGGAGCAGGCATCAAGGAAGCTACCTCTCCTTCATGATATGTAAGGATGAGGAGAATCCATGTCCTTGGCCAGGTATCTGCTTCCTCCAGTCCTTTTTAAGTTATAAGAGAAATATCAGCCTACACCTATTACTAAAAGCAAAGAAAAAAATAAATAAATGGTGTGTGCTACATACTAGACTGATTATAGACCACAGGCTGCTAACGATGGTGACTCATTGCCTTCAAATGAGAGTCTAGAAAAGCCAAACTTTAGAAGGCAGCATCTTTACATCAAGCAAAGCAATACAACTCTGAGTCACAACCTTTGGTGCCCTGGGCACCAAACTCACTTGTCTTCCTTTTCACTAAAATTCCCAGGCCCAACAGAACACAGGATTACCCAGGCCCCCCATCCACGCCCCAAATACCAGGTACCCTCAGCTAAGAGGAGCTTTGGGAATACAGACTGCCTTACAAGCAGTAATGAGGGATTTAACACATCACATTTAACAGCACCAAGAAACACAGCAGACAGAGGACATCTCGGGGGTGGGATACAGGAAAGATGTCCTCTCCTGAGAGTAGGTACCAAAACTCCAAAAATCAACTACTTCCAGCATGTTGCAGAGGATCCTCTTTTGTCTTCTTATTCAAAACAGTATCTGGAGAGCTGTGGCCAAGTTTTATAAAATACATCAGTGCTTGGGATACCTTCTGCTTCCTTCTCCCTCTCCCACATATGCACACAGATTGTTTGAATACGTGCCCCCTGCGGCAAGACAAACTCCCATTTTCATTTATTTTCCCTCCCAGTCTTTCATTCCCTGGACAAGCAGTCCAGCCAGTGCTTATCCCAATTCCTGACTGCCACGCATCTCCCAATCTGACAGAAGCTCCCCCCCAGCCAGAACGAGCACCCTGGAGCAGGTCCTTCCCCACTAGGAACAGCCCTGAGCTACTCTGTGAGAGGAGATCAACCCCTGTTTTGAAAAGATGAGGCCACCAAGACACCACGGCTACAGCCAAGCCACATCACAGTTATTGCTTCTTTTAAGCCCTAGCCTTTATTCTCAGTTGATTTTTGCTTCTGCCCAGGAAGTGCAAGATGTCCCCACCTCTCAGCAAAGACCAGTTCTAACCTCTCCCAATATAAGGGACACGTGTTGGGCAGGGGAGAGACAGCCCCCACCACCGCTCATTACCCAACACCAGTTTCCTCAGCGCTATTTTTGAAGTGCCATCCTAACACTAAACAACTTGCACACTCCAACACGAGAACAGACCACGCTCAGGAGCCCATGGGAGTCACCTATCAGGCCCACGGGTGAGACAGAGATAAGCCTGCCCAGCATTACTCTTACACATCTTATGCTTCTCCGCATTTTTAGGAAGCCCTCCATCCCCTTTCTCAGTGAGGCATAAAAAGGTAGGAGCAGCTTTCTGTACAAACACAAAGCCCACTCTAAATAATCTCCTCAGCAGTCCTAAGTACAGAAGAAAACAACTCAGGTAAGATTTCCCCCAACAGAGTTTTTAGGAAGCCCTCCATCCCCCTTCTCAGTGAGGCATAAAAAGGTAGGAGCAGCTTTCTGTACAAACACAAAGCCCACTCTAAATAATCTCCTCAGCAGTACAGAAGAAAACAACTCAGGTAAAATTTCCCCCAACAGGACCCCCAAGCAGAACAGACAATAGTACTTTACCAAATATTGCAGCAGCTCCAACCCTCTCCTTCAGCAGACAAAGAGCTTCAGAAAGCTCAGTCCTACTGAAGCACCTCTAACTCCTCTCTCTTCAAATCCCCCTCCTGCTAACAAGCATCACCTGAATGAGCCTCCTGCCACAATAAAGCAGCAGCTGCAGCAATCACCGCAGGGTCTCTGCTCTCCTGTGTTGATCTGTGGGCCTGAGTTGTCCCTTGGTTTTACTTTGGGCTGCTGCATGGATATATTATACACGCTACAGTATTTTCAGCCAACTTTTACAATACTTGGAGTTTATCATATACTTCTAATCACTTCAATCAAGTGATTAAAAGATAATCCTCAAAATATGCTCCCAGCATTTGCAGCTGCAAAGTTTGAAAATAAGAGCCATTTTGACTAAAAGCTCAGAATTTTAACTAAATAAAGACAGCCAAAAAGCTCACAATACTTTAAATGTAATTATTTTATAATGATCCCATTTTTTTTGTTTTATTTTAATCTAAATGCTCAAATCCTGTTGATTTTTTTTTTTAACGGCTGCAGGCTTCAACAACTGATTATGTGAGAGGCCTTTTAAGAAGTAAATCTACAGTTTGAGTGGCAAAAGTCCGGCACAACATCCATAAGCCAGCTCTTCTAAAGGGACTTGTTGACATCAGGATGAGGTTCAACAAGGCCAAGTGCCGGGTCCTGCCCTTGGGTCACACCAGCCCCATGGATGGTACAGGCTGGGGGCAGAGTGGCTGGAGCTGCCTGGCAGAAAAGGCCCTGGGGGTGTTGGTGGCCTGTGGGCTGAACAGGAGCCAGCAGTGTGGCCAGGGTGGCCACCAGCATCCTGGCCTGGATCAGGAACAGCGTGGGGAGTAGGACTCGGGAGGGGACCATCCCCCTGCACTGGGCACTGGTGAGGCCTCACCTCGAGGGCTGTGTCCAGTTTTGAGCCTCTTTCTACAAGGTGAGGCCTCACCTTGAGGGCTGGGTCCAGCTTTGAGCCTCTTTCTACAAAAAAAAAGACCTTGAGGGGCTGGAGCGGGTCCAGAGAAGGGCAACGAAGCTGGTGAGGGGTCTGGAGAAGAAGTCTTGTGAGGAGAGGCTGAGGGAGCTGGGGGCGTTGGGCCTGGAGAAAAGGAGGCTGAGGGGAGACCTTCTGGCTCTCTCCAACTCCCTGAAAGGAGGGTGTAGCCAGGGGGGGTCGGTCTCTTCTCCCAAGGAACAGGCGATGGGACAAGAGGAAATGGCCTCCAGTTGTGCCAGGGGAGGTTCAGATTGGAGATTGGGACAAATGTTTCCAGGGAAAGGGTTCTTAAGGCTTGGACTGGGCTGCCCAGGGAAGGGGTTGAGGCCCCATCCCTGGAGGGATTTAAAAGCCGGGTTGCCATAGTGCTTAGAGACATGGGGTAGTGATGGGTTTTATCAGAGTGAGGTTGGTGGTTGGACTAGATGATCTGAAAGGTCCCTTCCAACCCAGACAATTCTATGATTCTATGTCCCCCCCTGCAGAGAACAGCTTGGACAAGCAGGATTCCTTTTGAGACCTCGAGCAATTCAGATGTTGATCCCATCAAGCTGCTGTATGTCAGAAGCAATACACTATTTAATTTTGTCTCCGTGACACAAATTCTCTCCGCAATTTGTAAGTCCCAGTTAAACCTCCGCTCTTTCCCGTCAGCAATGATTCCCACCACCTGCTGAACCACCAACTCCCTCATTCTCCTGGGCAACAAAGATGTTTCAAGGATTGGAGCATCTCCCTTATGAGGAGAGACTGAGAGAGCTGGGACTCTTTAGTCTGGAGAAGAGAAGGCTGAGGGGAGACCTTATCAACGCCTACAAGTATCTCAAGGGAGGGTTGAAGGAGGAGGGAGCCAGACTCTTTTCAGTGGTTCCCAGTGAGAGGACGAGGGGCAACGGGCACAAGTTGGAACATAAGAGGGTCCACTCAAATATGAGGAGAAACTTCTTCACGGTGAGGGTGACAGAGCCCTGGAAGAGGCTGCCCAGGGAGGGTGTGGAGTCCCCTTCTTTGGAGATTTTCAAGACCCGCCTGGATGCTCCTGAGTAACATGCTCTGACAAGCTCTGGGTGGTCCTGCTTCAGCAGGGGAGTTGGACTAGATGATCTCTATGGTCCCTTCCAACTCTAAAAAAAATTCAGTGAAATTCAGTGAAAATTCAGTACACAGATAGAAAGAAATTGAACCTGCATGAAAATTGAACCTCAACAGCTGGAACTCTTTTTGGAACATTATGTGAGCTTACATGTGGGTCAAAACACTTCAAATATTTGCCTAAAAAAAATACAGTTTAAAGGAAGTACCGATTCTGTGTAGCTGCTTTTGAAATTTTTACTTTAATGGAAAGAGCACCTGCAGATGACTCCAAACTGAGCCTAGCTCTTCAGCAAATGTTTCTCCATTCTCCAGCATTTCAGCAAATGGTTTGTCAAACAACAAACCACACCTCTGAGAACCACTCCGATTCAGAGGAGTCCTGAAAGGGCTTTGTGGGTGACACCGGTGACCTTTCTGGTTGGTCCGTACTTCTCCCAGGGCTTAGCCCTTCCTCCAGAATAGCTTTTGGAATGACACTCTGGTTTTCTGCTTCTTTCTCCCAGTCTTTCCCACATTGCAATGATGATGTTGCTTGTTCTTTCAGGTCATTCCTCGGAGTTGTTTCCAGTTCTCCAGAGACTGGCCCAGACTCTTCAGTATTCTTCTGAAATTGCACCTCTTCTTCAGGAAGCTTATTTTTGGCTCTTTCCCATTGCACAAGAACTTTTTCCTTAAAGTTTCCCTGCTTTCCAACACACTGCTCTTGAGATCTCTCCAGGTCTTTCTCAGCCCTCTCCTGTTCCTCCAGGGCTTTCTTCTGAGCTTTCTCTTGCTTGCAGAGGAGCTCTTCCTGACCTCTCTTGAGTTCTTCTAGCGCCTTTTCTTTTGCTTTCTGCAGTTCTTCCAAGATTTTATTAGCTTTGTTTTGTTCATTCTTTGCCCTCTCCTGCTCCTCTAAGGCTTGTTGCTGTGTTTTTGCAAGTTCTGTCAGGATTTCCTGTGCTTTCTCTTGTTCTCTGACAGCCCTTATTTGAGCTCTCTCCATCGCCTCCGCAGCTTTTCTTTGTGATAGCTGCAGTTCCTTTAGAGCCTTCTGAGCCCTCTTCTGTTCTTCTAATGCAGCCCTCTGAGCTCGCTCTTGCTCTTGTAGGGCCTTTCTGTGAGCTTTCTCCAGTTCCTCCAGAGCATTTTTCTGAGCCATCTCCAATTCTTCCAGGGCCTTTTTCTGAGCTCTTGCTAGTTCCATGAGGGCTTTTTCAACCCCATTTTTGTTCAGGGGTTTCTTCTGAGCAATCTTATGTTTCTCCTTGGCTTTTTTCTGTTTTTTTATCAGTCCTACCAAAGCCTGTTGTTGAGCTTTCTCCAGTTCCTGCATAGTCTTCAACTGATTTCTCTCTTCTTCTTGCAGCTTCTTCTGTGCGTTCTCCTGTTGCTCCAGAACTTTCCATGGAGTTTTCTCCTCTTCCTCAAGCCCCATCTGTTGAGTTTTAAACTGCTCTTCCAACTCCACCTGCAAAGCAATCAACTGTTCCTCACGTTCTAGGCACCACGCTGCCTCCTGCGATGCCTTTTGTTCCAGACTCTCCTGTTGCTCTGTCACCTGCTGTGGTGTGTTCTCCTGCTCAGTTAACAACTTCTGCAAGACTTGCATCTTCATGGTCTCTTCCCAAGATTTGTTGGTCTCCCAAGAGCTGTCTTGTTCCTCCAAGGCTGCTTTCTTAATTCTTTCCATATCTTTGGGGGCTTTGTAAGTTCTTAATCCTGCCTTCTTTAGTTCCTTCTTCATCCTCTCTGCTACATCCATGAAGTCATCTTCCCTTTGCTTTCTTTCCTGGACTCTTCTCTGGACTTCTGCTAGCATGGAACTGGTGTTTTCATTATAACCCAGTTGGCAGGCCAGTTCAAAGTCCCTGGCAGCCTTGTGCCAGCGACCCAGGAGCTGGAATGCCTTCCCACGCCAGTGGTAGGGCTGTGGAGAAGCAGGGTCGATTTTTATTGCTTTGTCACAGTCCCTAATGGCAGCTATTGGTTTCAGCAACCTCAGGTAGACACTGGCTCGGCTTACGTACAAGACTGCAAGTTCTGGGTTGAACCTGATGGCGTCAGTGAACAACTCAACAGTTTTGTGAAATTCACCTGCTCTCAGTGCATGAAAAGCTTCCCTTTCCTTTTCGATGGCCTGTTTCATCATATTATTAGCTATCTTCAGGTTTTCATCTCCTATTTTCTGAAGGTCTTCTTCAGCCACTCCTTCATTTTCAGTATTGAGTTCACTGTCCTCAGTGTTCGATTCTCCACTGGGCTTTTCCTCCCCCTCAGCGATATGTTGACCTTCCATGTAAAACTTACTCTTTTCTACTGGATATTGCTTTTGCTCTTCAGATTCCCTTCCTTCCATGTCATGGTCAGGTTCCTGGGAGGTCCCAAGGTAAGTCCGTTGATGCTCCTTGGCATTCTGAAGCTGTGCTTTTTCCTTTTCTTGAGAAGTCAGAAGCTGATCCCTCTCCTCTTCTGCCATGGATTTCCCCACTCTTGGTAACGCACCCAATGATTGCTTTGTGTTTTCTTTCTCCTCATACATTTTTTGGTGTTTAGCAAGTTTGTGGACTCTTCTCTGAGCCTCCTTCAACATGTTATTGGTATCTTCATCAGAACCCAGCTGGCAGGCCAGTGCAAGGTCCTTGGCAGCACGCTGCCAGTGACCCAGGAGCCAAAGAGCTTTCCCTCTCCACTTGTACGGCTGTGCAGAATTGGGGTCGATTTTTATGGCTTTGTCACAGTCTCTGATGGCGGCGTTTGGCTTTTGCAACTGCACAAAGACACTGGCTCGGTTGACATACAAAGTGCTAAGCCCTGGGTTCAGTCTGATGGCATCAGTGAAGAGCTGAACAGCTTTTTGAAACTCACCTCTACCCACTGCATCAAAAGCCACCCTATTCTTTTCATCAGCCTGCTTCAGCATGTCGCTGGTCACCTCCAAACTCTCATCTCCCATCTCTGGGTAGTCATCCTCTTCTGGCTCAATCTCCCCTTCGCTGTCTGTCTCCAACTCACCCTCATCCCTCCCCAGCTCTTCACTGGCCTCTTCCCCCCTCTCAAACTTTGCCTGAGCCTCAGAATCTAATTTACAAGCCAAAGAAATGTTATGGGCAGCCTCTTTTAAATGCCCCAAAAGCTGGAGAGCTTTTCCTCGTAATAGATAGGCCTGTGCTGAGCTGGGATTGAGTTCAATAGCTCTGTCACAGTCACTAATGGCCATAGCTGGCTCTTCCAGCTGCAAGAAGACACGGGCTCTGTTAATGTGTGGGCTGGCGAGGTGTGGATTCAGCTTGATGACACCGGACAGCGTATCAACTGCTTTCTGATTTTCACCTTTAGCTAGGAAATCAAAGGCTTCTCTCGTTTTTCCAATTATCTGCTCCATCACCTCCTCTGATAGCCTTACATTTTCTCCCTCTTCTTGTGGTGGATTATCTGTTTGTGGATCGGTTGCCTTCCCTTTACCATTTTCCAAACCACGCTCGCCCGCATCTACCAGAAACTTTCCTCCTGCTGTAATTACCTCCTTTGCATCTGTTTTGCTTGACGTGGATGGTAAATCACTTTCTGTACTTTCTACAGATTTGCAGAGAAAACAATGATCCTCAGAAGTTAGAAAAGACGGGTCTAATTTTGCCGGTATTTTCTTTAAAGCCATGGTGCTCAGATCCCAAAAGGATGTTATTACACAGCATTTGTTGTCACTGAAAGCAGAGGAAGAAAGATAAGACCAAAAGCAGCTGATTGAGAGCTCTGAGTATTAAGTTAGTGCCAGATATACATGGCAAGCTTCCCGGCTCTTCTTCCTTCTGTTGTCTTGCTGCTGGACCTAGGTGTTGAGGCCAGCTGCAGGCTCACAGGGACTTCAGGAACTGGAGTAGATCACTTCATATATTGTGTCATCATTGGAATCCTGAGCTGGCTTCTTAAAGTCATACCACACAGGAAGGGCTCCCTGTGATCTTTCTTCTTCTTCAGTTTATTGCAGGTTTGACATCTCACAGGTAGATGTGTGTGCCTCTCTGGGTTTGCAAATCTGCCACAGAACCAAAGAGTCTGATTCTCTGTTTTCACACTTAAACAAAAACACCTTTTATGAGCCACAACCGACAGGAAGGCAATAGAAGCTGGATAAGAATTTTGTGTTTACACATGCTTTGGTCAAGTATTTTCCCTTGCAAATGAAAAATGATAACTAACCAGCTTGTCCCGACAGCAACACATGCCTACGGGGAATATTGAGACCAAAAAAAACTGTGCAGCACAGTTGCATGGACTATTTGTCATTAGGACATTTTCCAAACTTGTGTACAACATTTTCTAAAGTTTATAACATTTGCTTTTCACCTTTATAGCTCCAAAGGTCATTGGAGGGACAACGCTGCATCAAGAAGATTTCTTGGCTCTTCTTGACACACAGAAAAATCTTGGACTTATTGAAAAGATTCTCAAGCTGAGGTTTTGAATACCCTTCCATAATTTTCACACTAATTTGGGGCTGATGAGTCTCCTTTTCAGTTGGAGCCCCTGATCAATGTTAGACCAGGATTAATCCACTCTCAGAGTGGATTTGGCTCCAAGGCATCCAACAGGTTCTACCAGGTTGGGTTGGCATTGTATGGTGCTAAAGGCAGGCAGCAACTCCTCTGCTCTCATAGCATTCACAAATTTTTTAATGCTTCTTTTCAGATAAAATTTTGTTCTTCTCCCCCTCTCCCTCCCCTGTCAAGTTCCTAAAATCCACCTGTTTACTCCTAACAATTTCAGTAGCTTACTATCTCGTCCATGCTATGAATACCCATCTCTTCACCCTTGCTTCTGATCTTCTTCGAATCATAGAATTGTCCAGGTTGGAAGGGACCTTTCAGATCATCTAGTCCAACCATCAACCTCACTCTGATAAAACCCATCACTACCCCATGTCTCTAAGCACTATGGCAACCCGGCTTTTAAATCCCTCCAGGGATGGGGCCTCTACCCCTTCCCTGGGCAGCCCAGTCCAAGGCTTCAGAACCCTTTCCATGGAAACATTTGTCCCAATCTCCAATCTGAACCTCCCCTGGTGCAACTGGAGGCCATTTCCTCTTGTCCCATCGCCTGGGACTTGGGAGAAGAGACCGATACCCACCTCTCTACACCCTCCTTTAAGGGAGCTGTTCTTCCCTTTTCTGAAACACCAGTTTCCGGAATCCTATTTCTTAACCCAAGGTTTTCTTCACATACCACAGGCTTGTATATTAAGTCCTTATTTCTAACAGACTTGAAAAAGCCATATGGACTCGAGGCTACATAGTTTTCATGTATTTCAGTCCTTGAACCACCTTTTCTGATTTTGATGACAGGTCAATTTAGAATTATGTTTGCACAATCTCTGCAATGTTGGTCACTATATGGATAGCAAAACCCAGAAAACCCAGAGCAAAAATGAACAGGCCAGACAGGCTCAAGAATTAACACTAATGCAACAGAAATTTGTTGAACCTGCCACATCCACAGAACCCAGACAAAATAGAGTTAACTTAAGTAAACTACATCCACTCTTTCGTACATCTCGCTGCAAAAAGCGGTCTGTGGCTGTCACGGTTTTGAGGATAATAATGACATCTAGTGAGAGAAAAGGCTCACTGTACTATTTACATTCTCTTGCAGCTACAATACAGAACATTTTACATTTATTTATTTAAATGGTCACATGAAAAGTGCACCAGAGGAAACGAAATGTCTTCCCATGGGGCCATTTTTTTTTACAGGTAAGACATTCACAGATTTTTCAGCAACATTTGAATATTCATTTGTATGGGAAGATGTTATTACCTCTTCTGGACTTGCCTATTATACGTATATATTAAAAAAAATTAATGTAAATAGATTGCTTCTTACAGAATATTTTTCAATAAACACTAATTTTTTCACTGTTTTGCCTTTAAAAAGCTATCTGACAACTCATTATAATGACAATTAATCAGATAAAAACAGGTTTCAAAGTTGATTTTGGTTTTTTTTCTGTTGTTTTTTTTTTTACTCCAAGAAAGGAGTAAAAGTTGACAGACACTCTGCATGTTAAGCAGTTTTTCTTAATCCATATGTTACAATCACTCACTGAGAAGTCTAAGAAAATAGGAAATATACATCTATATATGCAGGCAAACATTCCTGGGCTAATAATCCAAAGAAATCTTAGACCAAGGTCGAAACTCCCCAACTCTGATGCAGACGAAAATGTTCACACAGAAGACAAGACTAAGTCTGCAAGAAGAATGGAGGTAGAGGTGCCTTAATTACCTGCAGAGGAAAGACCTCAAATAAGTCAGATGGAACAGGCTGCCCAGGGAGGTGGTGGAGTCACCATCCCTGGCTGTGTTTAAGAACCATTTAGATGTGCTGTTGGGGGATGTGGTGTAGGGGAGAACTTTAGAGTAGGGTAGATGGTTGGACTTGATGATCCCGAGGGTCTCTTCCAGCCTAGATGATTCTGTGATTCTCTTCTGCATAACAAGGACTTTCACCGTCGGCACAGGGAGGAGAGGAGCTGTCACCTCCAGGACAGTTATGACACAGCTGTGTTCCTTTGCTTTTTGCACTCTTGCCACCCAATCTGTGCCAAACCCTCAGCCGGGTGAGCTTGCGCTTACGTTTGGCTAAAAATCTTCAAAATTACTTTAAGTGGGGTCCTCACAGAGGAGGTAAAGGTGGGCTGAGACCCTACAGCTGACCCCAGCGGCAGGGAAAGGGGGCTCCAGGCTCTCTCCTCAGCTCGGGGGGAGCCTGCACACATCCCTCCTGGCAAGGTGGCCTGGGTACCAACGGCCATAAGGCAGGAATGTGAACATAACTGGAAATAAAATGCCTGTAACTGTTCTGGGAGAAAACCAGTAACGCCAAGAGAGCAAGGTAGCAGTGCCAAAACTTGCCTGAGACAATCACCGGGTGGATTAGTAAGTATTGGGGTTTATCTGTTGCGTTGCTCGTATTGATCCCAAATGTTTAGTTCACTTGTCGTTAATAAATCCATCGGTCCCTTCCAGCCTGATTTAAAAAACGTGAGTTGACCAGTTTCTCCCTGAGGCAGCAATACCCTGTTCACCACGGTGGGTCCCTGAAGCTCCTGTGGGCACTCGACTCTTCCCAGGCAAGGGTTGACGCATCTTCTCGGATGTGAGAGTTGCTCCAGGTGTTAGGACACCTTCAAGTTTGCTGATTCAGCATTGACACCCCGTGATATTTAGCTCCACGAAAGCACGGGCAACCCAGCGATGCCTGAAAGAATCTTCTGGCAAATACATAGACATATTTGTCACTCGAGATCTGCTCTTTCGGTTTGACAAACTGGAAGAAGGTTCCCCTGACAGAATTAATGACTTCACAACTCACAGCTGTTATTTATGCTCTATAAAAATGTCACCAACATCTGCCACCGTAGCTCAATGCAGCGCTGCCATGCAATTTTAAGCTCAGATGTAAACAAACAAAAAGTGTTTCCCAACAAGGGCATAAAAGGAAAGAAAGCTGAAGTAACCCCAAGTATTTTAAATTCTAAAAGGGTATCAATCTGCGGAATTTTTATACAATGAGTTGCATATGAGATCAGAAAAACTTCAGTTTTCCCAACGTACTACTTCTGTCTGTGAATAAATTCAAGGGTTTTTAAGCGTCTTTTCTCTGCTTCTATGCCACGTTGGCATTCCTGGACCTCACGTTTAATATTCCCAGAAGGACAGAAGACCCTTCACATACAGTGCCTTAGGATCAGCCACCTCTGAGCACTCCAGGCACACCCAGAAAGGGATGTCCTGGGGCACGGAGCCAGACCTGCCAGCACCTTCTGTGTGGTAGCACTCAGCCTGGTGGCCACCCTGACCTGGCTGGCAAGAGGAACATACACACTTGCCTTGGAGCAGCCAAATGAGTCCAACTCTTCTTTCCAGCACCTGGAAATGGCCTGGATCAGTGAAAAAGCATCAGTTCCTGCCATGCAAACACCTGAAACTTAGACACATCTTGTGAAACACTTTGAGAAAATGTAATCACTGCCACCAGAGTTGCTCATCTAACTGTGTCTTTCCAAATAGACAGTCTGACCCTTCCAGTCTGCAATGGATGTCCACTCCCCACCTTCTATTTCCTTCGGTATGAAGAACTAACTCTTCTAACACGGTTCACCTAGAGCAAAAGAACCTGTCCTGGTCTCCTAAATTCCAGTAAGATCTTCAATTCTTGGGCTTTCCTGAAATGCGTCCCTAGAAAAACAATCAGCAAGGGACACTGGAAGGCCATTGGCTGGACAGTCAAACCTTGGGCCACTCTGTCCATTTGTTGGAGCATCCAGCCAGCCAGACGTAAGCTTTACTGGGACAGACAGTGATGAGAACATCTTGCTAGTGCTAA